TCTTCTTAGATACACAGAGGCAGCAACATCCTGGGGACCAGGCAGCTCAGACTCCTTTGAAGCAAGGTTCCTACAAAGAGCAAGCCAGCCTCCAGCTCCCCTCCATGCAATCATTACTGTTATCTCTCTTGCATTCACCCTTTTTTCCTCACAGTTACCACTGCCGTGTTTTCTCCATCGATCCTCGTGTAAGACACTGTTTTAAGTCCGCTAGCCTTTTGACTGGGCTAAGCCGTTTAAGAGATGACAGCAGCCTCTATCAGCACAAAGCCAATATGATTCTTTTCGGATAAAGCACTTTTTTCTCACCCGCTCTTCCTCCCTCCCACTCACAAATAACAAACGCACAGACAAAACTGCTAAGCTTTCAAAGAAAAAAAGGCATTCCACCCCCACCTCAACTTCTCTCTGCAATTCTTTAAAGGGATAACCTTGCAATGTAAACAGCTAGAGTAAATGAGTAGCTGTTCTTTAGAACAAGTGAGGAATTGCTACAAATGCAGGGAATTTAAAAGGGAAAAAAGTGAGAAGAAACCCAATGCCTCCCGCATTTCAGCAAGTAGGATGCAGGATGGAGCATTGGACATAGAACACAGGAACAATTCTTCATCAAGTTCAGTAGATATAAATTCAGGCCCCACTGACTGGGGAGTCTCCAACAAAACTTTACAATGTTGTGAGATAAGTCTGAATTCTCCAACCTGGGCATAGTTTGCTGCTGTACTATGCCTAACACTCCCAAGTTTCAGCATCCAGAAATCAAAACTGCTGGTAAAGCACTAGTTGAACCAACCAACGTACGCCCCACCCCACTATTTTTCATGCCAAATGTTATTATTTAAATCATAGTTTTTTAAATATCAGGCACAGTGTGCCCCTTAAAAACAGTTTAAAATTACATCTTAAATTATATATTCTCTTAACACTGAATTCATAACCTTTATTGAGGGACTGAATTAAGTGTACTCTTCTATATAAAAAAGTAATAATAGAGAAATGTGGTTTTTAGGTCAAGTATTACAAATGTCACAAAAGTATCATGTATACTTATTATTGTCCAACCTGTAAATATTTAGACTGTCAAACTTAGGGTGGTTTTGAACTACCATGCCCTATCAATGCAAGGATTTCAACTTGTGCAATGGGACATTCCCCTCTTTCCTAAATCTGCTCCAGAGAGTGGGGGGAACCCATTTAGGGTATGTTCAGGGGAAGAAGGTTCTTTTGTGCAAGGAGAAAGTCTTGTGTTGATTGAATGAGAGACTTAGCACTATGTTGGATTCCACCTTTACTTCCTCTATGTCGTGGTGGCATGCTGTTCTGTGAATAACCTACAAACCCACTCAAAAATTTAAATGCACCTAGTGGTCAAAAAAAGTTGGTAGCCACTAGGCTAATGGAAGTTGTAGTCCAAAAATATCTGATGACCACCAGGTTGGGGAATGCTGCCCTACAGTATCACCCACATAGAGGGTGTTGCTGTACCTCTGCATAATTCACCGTTCTAACCATGCCTCCTTCCAGTTAACCAGGGTGGGGTGGGGTGTAGTTCTGTTTCAGCTCTTCCTCAAGTGTTATTGTAAATGTTGTAGTCTCAAAACATCTGCAGGGCTGAGTCTGCCTATGCCTGCACTAACCTAAATTCAAGGGGAGAACACATCAAGCTAACCGATTACTACAAACAGCTGTATCATATTTCTTACCTTATTGAAAGCGGAAACTGGTAAAGTGTATGGATTGTACTACCAAGTGCCCTGTTTCTTAGGTCTAAGCTCTGTCCTCACAGCCCATCTAGCTCTATCAGGCATCTTGTATCCCCACACTTTCTCTCTCTCTCTCTCTCTCTCTCTCTGGTCATGTTAGGATGCAATGATGGCCATAAACCACATTTAAACAAATCAAGCACTTCCCACTTCGTTCCTCCCTTCCAGGTGCACAGAAACAAACCAAGAAGCATCTGATTCAGCAGCTGAACCAAAACCTGAACCAGTGCTCCTGGTTGCTTTATCTCAAATAAACTATAATCAAGAAACAAAGAACTACCCTTGGGTTCCTGGTGGTGGTTTGTTAATGAGAAACAAGCCAAAAGAGCTGGTTTGGACATGACGCTAAGCCAGCAGTTCTGCAAGTTGTTTCCCAGCTTTGAGAAGAGAGGACCACAACAGTTAGTGCTTGAACTGCATGCACAAACACACATCTATGAACATACTAATCCACATACCTATACATGCAGGTCTTGCTATCTGAACACAATGGGTCCCCAGGAAATCATTCATTAGGCAAGCAACCACACAATGAGCTGATGATTTCCATTATTTCCTATGGGAACATTTCAAATCTGTGAATTGTCTGATCTCCCTCTCTCCCTGGTTTCCACCCCAAACTGTTGCAGCCAACTAGCAAAAGACAATCTTTCCTGCTCCTTGATTTGTCCCAATCTCTTTCCCTTCCTCCGTTCGTCCCAGGTTTCTAATCAAAATGGCTGCCACTGACCAGCAAAACACAAATAAGCAAGGAAATAAGCAAACTCCAGCTATTTAGATAACTGAATGAGCTACTTGGGCAGCAAGGTTTGGGTGTAATTTTTTGTGTTCAGATGACTGAAATTTCAGATGGCAAGCCTTCCGATAGCAGGACCTATGTGCACTTTATGGCCAAGTGTTGCATCCAAACATGGTCAATAGAAGTGAACTCTTATGTTAAAGGTGATTTAGGCCTTAAAGGCTACAAAAGTTACTATTCCACTTTATAAAGTGTGGAATTACATTTTTCAAATATATCCACTATGGAATACCTTATTCAATCATTTTTAGCATCATCTTCTAACGCTGCAACAGCAGAACCCAATGCAAACAATCCTGTCTCAACCTATCACAATGAGACAATAGCTTAGAAACATCATGTGGTAAAAACAAGCCAATAGATTGATCAAGAAAACACTCCAGGGAATATGTGGAGAGTAGATTTTGCTTCTTTACACATATCTAAATGGCTTCCATTGCTCCTTAATTGACAAAGCCAATAAGCAAAATGATAATCCCTATCAAAATGGCTGAGAAACTAATCCAAAGTATTTCAGGAAAGGGTACAAAACAGCAGTGAAAATGACTGATGAGCGTTCATATTTCCACTTCAAAAACAAGACAGGGATAATTTACATTAGCTGCCTATGTTTTCCATGCTAAGACTGTGCACAAAAGTGCAGACTGCTCAACATTCCTGGTTACGTAGGAACTTAACTGCTTCTGTCTCCCAGACCTCGGGGCACATAGGAAGACCAACTCCATAGGCTTAACCAGGGTCTGAAAAGTTAACACATTCCTGCAACATTCAATCAGCTGAATGAGAATTATGAATAAAATTTGTGGGTGCAAGGAACCCACGGGACAGCAAAAAATTATTTGTCTACTGCAATTCAGTAGACAAAAATCTGAATATATAGGTAGCTAAAAGAATATACTTTCCCCATATGGTTGAACTCCTGAATATCTGTCATGGTGCTGCTTACCTCTCAAGTCTCATTTATCTATTTTTTGTACAGATTTATCCATAGACTAAAGTGTGAAGGAAAACAGGAAAGAAAGATCATTTATAAGCCCCAGTAACTCATGCATCTTTTAAGCCTGATTTCCTTTCCCAGTGGGATTTTCCTTGGGATATTTTAAATTAGAATCCAGAGCAATCTATGAAAATACAAGAGGATGCCAACTTTTACTTTGATGAGGCAATGTACTAGATTCTCTGGTCAAGGAAGGGTGGAACACTGTTTCTACAGAATCACAATGTTCACACCAGACAGTTTAGTCAATTCTGACACAGAGCAAAAGGCTGAATGTAAGAAAGGAGTCAGGTGCACAGCTAAAATTACATTCACCAATAAAACTCACAAAGGTCACATTTTGCCATAACTCATTCTCTCTTTTGCAGCCGATTTTCCTGTCACAGGGGAAGGAATAGAAGGAGGAAAAATAAGATGTGTTTGTCTGGGAGCCCTGAGGGCTGCAGTGCTGGAGGTGTATGGCAGGTTGCTGAATTCTCATTTATCAGCCTTAAAAAAGATGGAGTGATAAATGCATAACCGGCCCTTTAATATTTTATGCAGGTGCTAAAGTGACTTAGCTGTCAACTTCCATACATCACCAGCGGCTGATAAACCAGCTTTCGTCACTCCAGACTGGGGCTTTTTACAATTTCATTCTCCACTTCCATTTTTTAAAAATATGCACAATATTGCTGAAACTGATTGTCCTGTAGCTGCTCCTGTTGTCTCCCAACTTTGGGCCACATTTCCTCCTCAAAGGCTAATTTAAGCAGGGTTTTACTCATAACTACTATTATTTTATGCTGTTTTCATAGCCATAGGAAAATAAATATTGGTGCTGGCAGAAGTGCAACTTCCCACCTACACTGAGAAGCAAGCACCTGGCCTGTTACACAGTTTAAAAAACATTCAATGGCAAGTGATGCAATGAATGGGAAAAAACATTTTTCCTCCTGACCATGTCAGCAAAGTCACTTCCCTTAAGCAATCTCTAACAGTTAAGAATTACAAAGGGAAATTTACAAAAGCAACTTTACTATCTTGATCTTGTAAGGTATGATTGCTTTTCGTGAAAGCATTTTCTGGCAGGAGACAAATAACATAAAATTTCTGTTAATGTTAATACCACAGATCATTACTATGATGAAAACCAACTCTCTGGATGAATTTACATCCATGTTCCTTTAGAGTCACACATGCATGACAAGCTGCTTCAACCGTCATCAGCATCCACATGTTGTCATTGTAAAGATATCATGTCTGTCATGGGAATAACTTTTGGGGGTATACTTGCATGAACAAAAACTGCTGAGGGAAAGAGCCCTTAGCCTGGGCTACAGTTTGGAGGGCAATAGCTCCAATATTAGCAATCTGTTTTGTTTTTGGGATGATAGGGAGGGGATCTGGGCACTGTTCAGTCAGCAGCACATCTCAGCAATCCCCAAAATGCCCCTCTTACCTCTGAATCCCCCTTCCAGGAGAGTAGTGGCACGTATCCTCTTCTGCCCGCACCATTCATATTCTTCAAAGCGATTACCATTTTCATTTTCAATGTCCACTGCATCATCCTCCATCATGCATGAGCCTTCCCTCTATTAAGTGAAAAGAATAAAGCACCAAGCATCAATTCAGTGTCCTGGGTTAAAAACTGTGCTAGTAGGTAGTATTCCTGTCAATGCATGCTGTATAGAGAAAGCTGAATGGTGGACAAAGTGGCAAGCACATGTCGACACAGGGTACTGGCAACAGCTAACGAAGCAGGAAAAAGAATGTCATCCACATTCATTGCTGCTTATTGAGTGCTCGCTTTATATTACTGGCTCCCCCAAGGTAGTGTGGGATGAGGTGAGTATCCCATTTAACCACAGGGACAGAGGCTGTGACATTATTGCCCAAGGCCAAAAACTAAATTCATGGCCAAATTTGAATTCAAGACTTCCCAATTCAGTTTCTGACCAAAACTATACTTCCTTGCAATGAAAGGAATGAAGTTCTTTCACACATATAAGCTTTGCTATTGTGTGGAAAGTATGCCTAAAATTTAGAAACTATTTGAACTAGGCAAAACTAGAAAGTTATATAAGGCAGAAAAGTGGAGCTGGAGCTGCAACTCTTCTAGGAGCAAAAGGGTAACACTCTACATCAAGTTTCAGGATTGCTGTTGCTATTGGATAACTCTTTAGCACAGCCTGAAGTGTATGAAGGTGCTGCTACAAAAATACTTTTATTTATTCATATAGCACTGGCAGGACTACACAAATACACTGAACAATACGGCCAATAGGAGAGAACCTCAAGGAATGCTCCATTTCAAGGGCAATACTTAATCATCTTATCGCCAGTTTTACTCCAACCTTGAAAATATGGTTCAAATCACCATTAGGCAACTCCAGTTATGCCTGCAATGTATGTTAACTAAAAAACAGAAGTCCACAGTCAGCTGTATCAGAGGCTGCTATAAAAGCCACCATGGCCAGAATAATAGGTTGATGGACGTTATACTGACTAGTGTCATCTATCCTGCATGAAGACCAGAACCTAAGTGAAATCAGCTCAGAACGTTAATACTGTGCTACCAGATTCACTGAATCCCAACCCCACTCTAAAAAAATAAATAAATACTTCCTTCAAAAATCAGAGAAGAGAAGAAGAAATCTGCTGGATTAGACCAAAGGCATATCTAATCCAGCATCCTGTTCTCACAGTGGCCAACCAGATTCCTACAGGGAAACCTGTAAGCAGGACAAGAACACACTTGTGGGCAACTGGTATTCAGGGACATAATGCCTCTGATAGCAGAGGTAGTACAAAGCCATCATGACTAGCAGCCACTGAAAGCCTTATCCTGATGATTTTTTCTAATCTCCTCTTAAAGCCATCCAAGTTGGTGGCTATCATTAGATCCTGTGGCAGAGAATTCCACAGATTAACTATGTGCTGCATCATATTCAGTTTCATAGGATGACTGAGGGTTCTAGTTATTATATGAGGGAGAAAAACTTCTGTCTATTTGTTATTAGAAACTTTCTGATAACCATTTCCTCTCCAATCTATGTCCATCTCTGAGCTTTGCTGGATTTTGGTTAAATCACAGTTGTCTGATAAGGCCAAAGTCCAGCAATAAGCCAGGCGGTCTCCTAGTTAACAGTCAAAAATTGAGCCTGCTATCCCTTCTCATTTGAAAGCTTAGGAAAACTGTCTTTAGAGTAATGAGATTGCCAAATCCAGACAGATTAAAACTTCAAGATAGAACTCAAGTACAGATCTACATGGCCATGTGTACTTCAATCTGCAAATTTGGTTTCTACCCAGATCACAGGAGTAGCAGAGGGTAGGAAGAAATGAGAGAGAGGCAGTAGGGTTCCCTCAGTGCTTCTACCTTTGCAAGGCATTGTTCGACATGCCTACTCCTCTCCTCCTCGGATCCTGAGAGAGGTTGGCTGCAGAGGGGACATACCTGTCCTTCGTCTTGCTTCCTCCGTTTCATTTTTCCAATCCGAGCTATGCGAGGAAAGCAGAGAGAAAAGAAAAACACAATGGGTTATATATTTGCCCAGTGACTGAGGAACCAAAGGGAAGAACATATTAGTTTCTGCTGTCAGCCAAGAAGCCTAGAGCCCCTGTGAGGCTTCATCTCATGCCTCTCAGAAAGAACACTGGCAATGGGGAGACCAACCTGGCCCCATCCATTGGCCAATAAAGGACCTGCTGCTCCAATGCTCACTCCCTTCTCCCTTCTTTTTTCCTTTTGTATTATGTCTATTAAGACTGTGAATCTGTGAGCTTAATTTAAGATATACAGGGAACTTTAAAACTGCAGGTGCTTTGTAGGTATTAAATAATATGAATAACTGAGAGCTACAGAGAGTGAGTGTGATATAGATGCAAGGTTTCAAGGCAAACATTTGCTCTTTCCTCCACCGAGCCTCAGTGGTTTCCTCCCCACCACACTCTACCTGCTTCATCTTGAGGAGCTGTGCCCAAGTTTCATCTTGTGCAGTTACAGAACCTTTAATGAATTTAACCAAATGCCCCCCTAGTGAACAAAAACAGCCACCATCCTCACGGCACAGGAGAAATTAAGTCAAACACAAACCGAGTGCCTTGCCCTCAAAAGGGCATATCTGATTCCATTATCTTTATAATACTGTTCCTCCCCTGGGAAAGCCTAAGAACCACTATTTTAATGTTCAGCATCTCCTGCAAATACAAAACCCACACTGTCGGGATGAAGATACTAGTTGGGTCCTATTCGCCTCCTGAATCCACCCTAGGATAAGTCATCAATTTTATTTTTGCCTCCGTTGTTCCTAATCAGACTTATTCAATAGTTGCATTTTACAATATCCTGACTAGAGAACAGTTTTCAAACTGCTATAAAAGATGCCACAAAACACTTCTGCTTCTGACTAACATGACTACCTGAAGCTTGCTCTAAGAAAAGACACCAATCAGTATAAATGGGAAGCCCCAAGAGCCTAGTAATCAGCACAGCTGTGAAGATGTCAGAAAGAAGGGTTTCTGTCAAAATGATTTCTATAATTATGAAAGAGAGTTTCTGCTTAAAAGGTAAGCAGGCTTTGAAATATGGAGAAAAGACCCAAACACACACAGGCAGTTTCCAGTAAATATTTAGAAATCACAGCAGGACTATACTGGACTTAACTGCATTCAAAAGATTTCACTTAGAACAGCACCATGTCCCTCTATCCCTATTTGTACTCTTTGCTCAATCCTACAATTTCAGATTCTATCCCTAATCTCCTACATCTCATCCCCAAATGACGACAAGCAGAAGCAATGCAGAATATATACAAGTAATTCCAATTATTTGCTTGAAGTTTGCTTTTTGGGGAGAAAATTCTATTGTAGGCTCAAGAGACATGCCCCTCTGGTGAACTTTTTCCTTTACCAACTGCTGATTAATTTGAACCCTCATTAAATGTGGGCAAAACATCTGAAAAACTTGCATTAAAATAACATTGATCATTAAGAGAGATGGCTTTAAGCAAATATTATCAGATATTTCAATCACAGACAGGGGAAATGAACAACTTAATAAGGAAGGTCAGAATTTTGACAGAGACCAAAATAAGAGCCCAAGGATATTCTGTGTAGTAACAAGAGATGACATGACAGAGAAGTCACTTAATGCAGTAACAATTATTGACATTATGAGTCTGCCACTTTGCTGCAGAAATTATAATGTATTGCAACTGCACTGCGAGAACGAGATGCTGCACACACCAAGTGGGAAGAAAGGGCCCAAAAACTAAATTAAGGGAGGCACTGGAAAGTAAGACAAATGCCATAAGCAGGGTAGGCTTTTAGTCATAATCCAAGGAGGCAATACAGGAACCCAGCAAAAGCTTTTAACCAGACCAATGTTGACTCAATAAAGGTATTAATTTTTTTTTCTGTTTGGGGCCTTTTTCTCTGGAGTTAACATATAAGCAAATTCAAACACTTTGGGCTGGCAATACAGACTGGCTATACAGGCTAGTTAATCAGCAGAGGAGGATCAGACATCCACCTGCAATCCATTTGCCTGAGCCATCCCCACTATCCTCACTCCAACTACTCTAGAGCTCCTCTCCCCACTTGAAGAACACAGGGCAGAGAGGTGCAGCTACTATTATCCTAGGCTGTTTATACAGTGTAGTGCTAATGGGCACCTGCTCACTTTCTCCCTCCTATACTTAGAACTAAAACACACTCTCAAGAAACAAAAAAGCCAACTCCATCATACCTGAAGTGGAGCTAAGAGGACTCAAAAGTTTCTGTCCCCCCTTCTCCAGCAGGGAAAGGAAGACAAAAGAGGGCAAGTCTAAACAGCTAGCGCACTGTGTTTAGAATAACAAAGCTCCTTTCTGGCATGTGGGAATGAGTACAGGAATGAGAAGAGTTGATGCAGCCTTCTGAAGAGAGATAGTCGATTCTGGATGGGGCAAACCTAACTATTTCTCTCACACTTCTGGGAAACAAGGAAGAAGAAACAGTTTCAGGCACTGTCTCCTGACTGTAGCTCCATCTTCGGCAGGTCTCTGTTAGAGAGGCTGCTTTCTTGGACTTTTCTTTCCCATTTTCTCCAAGGTGGAAGCAAGAGCCCTCCCACAAGAAGCTGCACACAGGGCTCTCTCACTTTGGCAAGTGAAGGTAATCCTAATTCACCCAAGGAATGTGATTTGCAAATCTGTCCTAAATCTGTATGTCTTACCCACCTGACTTGCATTTGTGGGTCTCAACTACCAAATCCAGAGCCAATAACGACTCCCCTCCGATGTCATACTCGCTCAGATCCTCAGTATGTATGAGGCATGGTTCAAACCACCTGGATTTCAGAAATATTTCTCATTGCCCTCAAGGAGCAGCTGGGGCAACATTCCCAGTTGACTCCCAGTGGCACGATTTGTAAAACATTTTACTGCAAACCCTATGGACATAATGTAACTTATTCCATAAGTCTGGTGTGAGAATAACGGAAACAGAACTTGAAAACCACTTCATAAAAACTCAGGGTCCATGAATAATCATTTCTATAAACTTAAAAGTCCACTTAATGAAAAACTAAACTTGAATTTTAAGCGCCCTTGCAAAACTTTTAGACCTGTCATTATACTGATCCTTAATATTTTTGAACCGGTTATACGTCAGCAGATTTTTCTGCCATCATTGCTTGTGAGCTATCATGACACACACAGTACTAATGCAAAGCATTTTTGTGCCTCAGATGGCAAACTTTTCAACAACATCCAGCAAATAAGAGCATTAGGGGCTCTAAGCAACACAGTCCACCTTAGAGACCCATGAGACACTGGGCAAAGAAAAATTGTTTTGCTCACAAAATAAGAGCAGCATGAACAAAAGTGTAAATGGAGTGAAGAAGAGCTAACAAAAAGTTTCTGTTCCAACACCTTTTGCAGTAGCTTGATACTGGCAGAGGTGGATCTGGAGTGTGAGAGAGAAAAAACGGGGGCTGTTTGAAAGCCACTGAACAGAATTTCCAATTGCTACTATAGAGCTCAACTATCACTTCTAATCAACGTAGGAGGGATGGAGAAGCCCCAGAGGAAGGGGGGCAACTGCTGAGCTGTCCCGAAGGGGAACAGCTCAAAAGAACACACAAGTGAGACCACAGTATTGTTAATTAGTGCTGATAGATGCAATCATTTCTAATTAGCTCGCTAATCCTTCTCCCCTGTATTCCTGTCGCAGGAGCAAAGAGGGGGGCTGGGTTGATTTTTCCTTACCCTTAAGTTACAGGGCTTTTTTTTAAAAAAAAAAATCTGAATATAAAACAGCATGAAAAAAAGACTTTCACTTAAATGTCCCTCATTGCGGAACTCTTCTAAAAAAAGCTTCTTTATTCCAGTTCCCACCCAAGATGCAAGGAGGCCACTTATATTGCAATAATGATACCAGTGCACCAGCGTGTCCATAATGTCAAGCAATCTATCTTGCCAAATTTCCCTCTTCATTATGGCCGTGGCTCACCCTGGACTACACTGACTTTGGCCTTTGAGTTGCAGGAGAAAGTTACTTCAGCTGCACTGTTATGCCTGGACCCTAAAATACAGGGGGAGACCTGCCCTTCCACATTGAGCACTCATCTGTGACAGCCTCTATTTTGTTGATCCAATTTATTTATTTATAAAATGTATACCACCCTATACCTGTAGATCTCAGGGCGGTTCACAACATAAAATCACAACATAAAAGACACAAAATATATAATAAAAACACAAACAACTCAATAATCCCCACTTCCAAAGCACACTTTTAAAGAGCATCAGATGTCAATTAGCCAAAGGCCTAGTTAAAGAGGAACATTTTCACCTGGCTCCTAAAAGTGCATAATGAAGGTGCCAGCCTGAGGAAAGCATTCCACAAATGGGGAGCCAACCCAGAAAAAGCCCATTCTCGTGTTGCCACCCTTCAGACCTTTTGTGGTGGAGGCACATGAAGAAGGGCCTCAGAAAATGATCTCAGGCTCCAAGTAAGTTCATATGCAGAGAGGTGGTCCTTGAGGTATTGCAGATAGAAGAACTAATGCTTAGTCTCGATCTTTTATGTTACTGACATGTTTATCAGGCTCTTGTTTTCTTGCTCTATTAAGGGAGTTTATCATGTGTTATGCTCCTGATTGACAGGTCTTTCTAGGAAACAAGTAGGCTTCTCATGATTCTTACTGGGCATGGGAGCACTCCTCCTTTTCTGAAGTCTTTTCTTATTCTGCTTCATTTTCTCAGAAATCCCCTGCCTTTATCTTGCCATGCCTCCATGTGTACTGTGCAGCAGATCCCTGGAACTCTTTTGAAGCTGAGCTCAGCTGCTGGGTGGAAGCATGGAATTCATACTGAGTTCTCTTCCATACCTATCTTGTATATGCTTGATCCATGTTTTGTCTGCCATTTATGCACAAAAACCCAAGCTTGAACTCTGCACCCCATCTATCCTAGGCACCCAGTTGTGCTAAAGAGGCCCAGTCAATATCACTTCTA